TTCTGCTGTGCATAAGGTCGCTATGAGTCGGAGACGACTTGATGACACTTAACAACAACAACCAACATAGAAAATCACTATGATGGGAAAGGCATGCAACTGTTTAACCAAGACTGTACAGTGTCTAGAAGATGTCTCCCATCAATGCACATGAGCAGGAGAATGTGTTTCAGCAAAGGAGAAATGGGTGGATCAGAGGAAAGTGGAGTGTCTTCAAGGCAGGAACATTTCACTGAGATTTAGAGCCCCTGATTCAGAACGACCAGCTCCTTTCCAGTTTCTAGCATGTTCTACATGTTCCACTCCCTGCTTTGTCAAAAGACCCTTTCCTGTAGAGACTTTGTTTGGTCCCTGGAGGTCCAAGAAGGAGCTAAGTAAGTAGGCCAATTGAGAATTTAAAAAAATAGAGGAGGGTACCCAAAACTATGTGGATGGAAGGTTTAGCCCAATGTGCAGAATGCTTAGGAAAGGCTCCAGTTCATGCAGAATATTCTTCTAATACTTTCTTTATGCAATATCTATTTCAATTATATCCCATCTCTTTTTCTAGAATAGGAACATTTTGAAAGAGAAATATATGGGCTAAACTCTATCAACGTTTAGTACAGAGTAAGGAATGCTTAAGGGAAGTGGGAAGGCCTTGGAGAAATCTAGAATTAGATTATAACTTAGTAGAAACAGTTAGGAAATATTTACTTATTCCCATTGTCTTAGAAATAGATAAATTTCCTCTCTGGCAAGATGAGTCTCACTATGATGTGAGCTTCTCGCTATTGTCCTGTATCTCTGCTGCCCAGTCAGCCGGGTGCATACCAAGGCTAGGGGTAGGGGCAGTGGCAATGACCTTGGCTCCTTCTTTCCTTTGGTGAGGTTGTAAGGGGTGGCTGTATGCAGTTGTTGAAAGAAGCCCATACTTCCTTACTACGTACATGCCTTCTGAATCCCTGCCCTGCGATCAATGCCTTCTCTCCCTTCCTTGCACGTTAACACTGTTCTCTACCCATCATGGGTTCACCAATCAGTGAAGTTTTAAAAACACTATTGCTGGTCTGGAAACAACAAAACAATAGCTCCTGGGTGAGGTGGTTCAACAATTTCCCTCTCTTAACATATGGGTCCCTAAGAGTTGGAATCGACTTGACAGCAACTAATGCTAACCACAAAAGGGAGTCCCTAGGTGGTAGAAACATTGAACATGCTCAGCTGCTAACCAAACATTGGAGGTTCAAGTCCACCCAGAGGCACCTTGGAAGAAAGGCCTAGAGAACCACTTCCAAAAAATCAGCCACTAAAGACCCTACAAAGCACAGGTCTCCTTGGACATACCTGGGGTCAGCACGAGTTGGAGTTGACTTGATGACAACTGTTTTAACAGCAGGAACATAAGTTACACATCATTTATTTAGTGACCCCCTTTGGGTTTCCGAGGCAGTAAATCTTTACTGATGCAGGTTGCCCAGTCTTTCTTCCACAGAGTGGTTGGTGGGTTTGAACTGCCACCCTTCGGCTTAGCAGTCAAATGCCTTAGGTCCTATATCACCAGAGCTCCTTATTTATTTAGCAGTATTTGGAAACAGGTGTAGGATGAAAATTTCTAGATGTGCCAGTTTCTTCATAAGCTGTCATTTATAAACCATCTTGGGGATGAAATCCCCTGGAAATGTATGATACAAACTCGTGCCTGCCTCAGGAGAGTATGCTGAACAAATGCCGAGCCTGGCTTCAGATCTACAGTTGTCATTAGGAACATGAGCTCTTCTACCCTGTGCAGTGGGGCGAGTGGTGGCTCAGTGGTAGAATTCTCACCTGCCATGTGGGAAACCCAGGTTTGACTCCTGGCCAAGGCACCCCATGCACAACTACCACCCATATCTCAGTGGAGCCTCACTGTTAAAGGTCTGCATGTAAGTCCTGAGCCACCAAGGGGACGCCGGCCTTACCTTTTTGTAGAGACTCCTCAGGTCTCGGTACTGCCACATGCTGTTGAGGACTTGAGATGCAGCCTTGACCACTTTGGGAGAGTGTCTGGTGAAGAAAAGACATGGAATGCAAGGTGGTGAGTGGGCAGCTGAGCTCCAGAGTGACATGACTTTGCCAAGAAATTCCTGGCTCTTTTCGTCTTAGTCTTACTAGTCTCCAAACTCACTCTCATCAACACACCCATGACGGGGAGCGACAGGAATGCATTACTTTTTGGATAAAGACTTTTCAACCTGCCACACCAAGAGTGTTTAGTGGCAGTGAATCAAAGTGCAGCAATTCCAGGGTGGTGGATATAGTTAAGCACTCAGCTGCTAATCAAACGGTTGGAGGTCTGAGTCCACCCAGAGGCACATTGGAAAAATCAGCCACTGAAGACCCCATGGAGTACGGTTCTAGTCTGATACATGCCAGGGTGCCATAAGGTGGAACTGGCTCGATTGTAACTGGTTAGTCAAAATCCAGATTTAGTGTTTCCGTGATGAAATGGAAAGAGAAATAATACAAAACGGTGATTAGGAAAGGCCAGATTCAGGGATTCTAATGGGAGTGCTACGCAACGCCTTTGGAGTCAGAAGATAAAAGATACTCATCTTCTCTCCTGACCAGGAGGGCTAGACCTTCCTATGTGATGATGGGTGCCAGATACTGGTCGTGAATGCAGATATGCATATGCTAGCACACACACTGCCACACACACATGGACGCATGTGTGGCTGCACACACACGGGTGCACACACACTCTCTTACAAGCATCTGTGAAAAAAGTCCTGTATCCACTTGGAGTCCTGTGCTGGGGATGAAAGACAGAACCCAAGGCCATGGCCACCTTCCTAGACAAGTGGTTCTTAACACTTCCAAGCCACACGTCCCTTCGGAAATACAACCAACTATTTTGTCTTTTGGGTTACTCCTCCCTGCACCTAAAAACAGAGACTTGGTCACAGAGTCTATATTGATTTCTTGGAAGTCACCGCAGCTGGTGGTCATGGAAACTATTAGCTACTTGCTGATTTTGTGTTCCCGTGGTGTGGTTTCATGCAGTGTCACACTGCCCGACTCTAGATGCTGCCATTCACATGTGGCAATCTCAGGCTGGCAGCACATGTTTTCCCCAGGGAACCAGATGGTGAATATTTTGGCTTTGTGGGCCATGAGGTTTTTGTTGCAGCTACTCAACCCTCTCATTGTAGCAAGAAGGCAGTTGTAGACAATACTAAAGGGATGAGTGTGGCTGTATTCCAATGAAATGCAATTTACAGTCACAAGTGACAGGTCTGCCCTCCCTTGGCCTTTGTGAATGGCGACCCCTGGAGTTGAGCAGATCACAGACATTCAGATAAACCCCAATGTTAATGACAATCCTGGTCAGGACAGAGGCCCAAATCAGAGAATATGTGATTTGAGAGCAAAAATGCCTTTGAAATGAAATAAAATGCATGACCTCTGAAATAGGATTTAAGTCGATTATTAGATGGGATGAGGTTGAGGTTGGATTCGAGAGCCTAAGTAAATGTGTGGTGCAAGAACTGCTTTCTGGAATGAAATTATAGGATGCCAATACAGGATTATTACTGTAGGACATCTATTATCATAGGATATCACCACTTGTCCGTCAGTTGGTCGTACCGTGGTAGCTTGCATGTTGCTGTGATGCTAGTGAGGCTGGAGGCTATGTCACCAGTATTTCAAATACCAGCAGGGTCACCCAGGGTGGACAGGTTTCAACAGAACTTCCAGACCAAGACAGATTCAGAAGAAGGAAGGGGCCATCTACTTCGCAAAGAATTGGTCAATGAAAACCTTATGAATAGCAATGATGGATTGCTTGGGTATAGCAAGGATTCTGAGGATGATGCATGACTGGGCAGTGTTTTGTTCTGCTGCACATAGGGTCGCTAGAGTCAGAGCTGATTCAACGGCATCTGACAACAACAGCAATGATACATGGTAGATGTTTTTCTGGGTCTTCACAGTTGTTATTTAGAACAGGTAAGCTTAAGGGATTTTCTTATTTTTTTTTTTTAACATCCATTCACTTCAGAGTGACAGTAACAGTCACTCATTATCATCCTTACTGAGAGGGAACTCAACTTTGAGTAGTGTTTGAACGTCTGTCGGTTACATCACTTATACCGTTCTTATCAATTCCAAAAAGTGTCCATGAAAGATGACCTGTATTGAGGTAACAGATGTATCTTCTTTTCATTAAACCGACTTGTTAAACGACTTGCCAATTTGTGATAGTGTCCTTAATGCAACACTGAATTTCTTTGATTTAAAGGCATAAAGTGCTAGACCTTCTCAGGGACACAGGCATGGGTGCATTTCATTCTTACATAATCAATGCTGGACAATGATTATGTGTTCCATTTTGCTGCATTTTATATTGATGAGCTAGACATGTCTCCATGAAAACAGTCCTACAAATCTAGAGCCGGACCCATTCACATTCAGGTGCTAAGTGTCGCTGAAACACATTCAGTATGCATAATTCCCTGACATGGTGCAATTTTTGTTTTTGCATTTTGCTTAGTTATGAAATAGAGGCCGTGACTGTGTAATGAAGAGCAGATTTAACCTCTCAATTAAAATGCCAAGACATCAGTTATAATCACATTTGAAGGTTACAGAATTATTTGCTATCTTTTCAGACTTTAATTTTGATCCACTAGACTGATACCATAGCAACTTCTCCTTGAAGAAGTATAGCTATTGATTGAAGGACTTTAACAACTGAGTGTTTCTAATGTGACACATGATTATCACCCAGGTCACAATATAGAATTCGATACTGACAAGTCATAGTTGAGACTGTTAATAGCTTTTCTGTTTTATGACAAAATACAGTGACACCTTCTACACTATTTCCTATATAACTGTTAAAATAGGAAAAAAAAAAAAGTGTACTTTTTGCAAGAGATGGATGATATACAATGTCCATAATACGTGTTTAAAAATGATGTGAAAAGAGTAACAGAAAGTTATTAAAACTCTGAAGTGATGAGCCTATGACTCCTTTAAGAGTCAGTAGGAACTTCATGGCCCTGGATCTTCACCAGAGCTGTCCAATCAGGGGCGGCTGAAGACGTCTGCTGGGACAGTTCATGGTGGCCACTCAACAACGATGCAGCAGTAACAGGAAACCCAAAACACCAAGCCCAGGGGTTGTACTTGCAAAATACAGTGGATTGGACTTTCAAACAGTCATGATCTGAAACTCACCAGTTTGATCCATTAATGTCATTGAGTATTGAAGCTTCTATGTATTTACTTTATTTTTTAAAACTTTTTATTGTGATTTGAGTGAAAGTTAAGGAGCTCTGGTGGCTCTGTGGTTAGAGCATTGGGCTACAAACCAAATGGTCAGCAGTTTGAATTCACCAGCCACTCTGGAGAAAGATGAGGCAGTCTGCTTCCATAAAGATTTGCAGCCTTGGAAATCCTATGAGGCAGTTCTACTCTGTCCTATACGGTCCCTATGAGTCAGACGGCAGTGGTTTTGACTTGCTTTGGAGTACAAGTTAAAGAGCAAATTGGTTTTCCATTGAACAACTCATACACATTTTGACTTGTGACACTGATTACAATCTCAACAATGTAACAGCACTCTTCCCACTTCCTCCCTTTGTTTACCATTTCCATTTGTCCTTCTTTCTTATCCTTTTTT